GCGGGGCCCGGAGGGAGGGCGGGGCCCGGAGGGAGGGCGGGGCCCGGAGGGAGGGCGGGCAAAGCAGAGCCTGCAAAGCAGAGCCTGCAGGCTTTGTGCTAAGGGTCTGCGGCGCTTCCCCAACCAAAAAGAGAGACTAGACCCCCACGGCTCAAAAACTCATCTTTATTGGGAAGACTCTGAACAAACAACCTATCCCCACCTTCATGGGGTAGGAGGCCTGGGGATCTGCACCCTTTTCCCATATGTACATTCTTCAGAATCCTCCAGGAGAAAGTGTCCTCAATTGTGGGGGCTGACGCAGCTTCAAGAAGCTAGTGCTTGGGCACCAAATCCCTTTTCACTCCAGACTCAGTTTTCTCATTTGTAAAATGGGCTCAGGGGAAACCAGTACAGTAGAGATTCTCGCCAGCACTGAAGATGTCCGTTTCAGAAGGATGAAGAGGTCAGGAGACCTGACCAAGAGTGGCCCAAGGGAGTGGGGATGCTGGACATCCTTGTCGGATTTCTATGTACCCTTTCACCTCCCTCCCCACCCAGCGCCTCTCCTCCAGCACCGCGGGGGCTACGTGGCTTCAGACCCAGGGGACAGGAGGCCGCCCCCAAAGCCTGTCTCACGGTACTGGTTGGGGAACATGTTGCTGCCCACAAGGCTGGCAGTGCCCCCGTCCCCCGGGACCGGAGCCTGGTATGAGTCCAGTGTCAGTGGCTCGGGGCCAGGAGGCTCCCCAACCGTGGCCCCTGCAACCCCATTGCCTGTGACAGCACTGGCAAGTGGCGGCGCCGGGGGCAGCATGTCCAACATGGGGAAGATCGTGGGGACTGTGGGTTCATAGGAAAAGCCGTCATCCAGGAGGTCCGGCCCGCCAGGGGGCTCCAGGCCGGGCAGGGACACGGCGCTGGCACTGGGGAAGAAGTCTGTATCAGGCAGCAGGGCTGACGGTGGGAGGAATAGACCTGCAGGGATGAGAAGAGAGAGAAAGAAGTATGGTGGGCTTTAGGGTCAGCTTCTAGCCAGGTATGAACTTGAACGGGCAGGCCCATGCTAAGTGCAGTATCAGCATGGCTTCTTTTAATCTCAAGGAGAACTGGGGTTGAAACCATGCTCCTGCGGTGCTGGGGACTTTTCTCCGAGAATGAGGAAGGAGAAGAGGCTCAAAAGCACCCTCAAATATAGAAACAACCCAAAAAGCGAAATCTCCACATCATGGGAGACCCAAGTAAGAAGTCATCAGTCCCCAAATTAGAAGGTAGAATGATGAATGTACAGCTTGGTGTGGTCATGTGACTAAATTCTGCTGCCTGGAATGTGGCCATGATGGTTAGAGCTGCAACAACCACTTTGGACCATGAGATGGAAACTGCAAGTTGAAAAAGGTAGGAGCTTAGGACTCTGATGATCGTGCACCCACCAAACCATCTCTGGGCCGCCTACCTCTGGACTGTGTTTATGTGAGAGAAGAAATAAAGTTCTGTCCCATTGAAGTCCCTGTTATTTGAGGGTTTTGCTGTGAATATAGTTACACATGATCATAACAAATGCAGGTGACATTCTTAGTTTTTGGCAAGTCCCTAACGTATGGGCCCTAACTCTGTGCCAGCCACTGTGCTTAAATAATGCAATAAATTCTAAAAAGGACCCTGAGAAGTAAGATTTCCATCTAATAGATGAAGAAAGTGAGGCCTAAAGAGGTTACACAGTAGCTAAATGATGGCCTCAGAATTCAAACCCAGTTTGACTCCAGAGGGCATGCTCCTAACCATTACACTACAGTGCCAAGGCAGCTTTGCCCCAAGGATGAGAGAGGGAGGCCTGACACAGTAGGAAATTGGGGTGATGAAGGAAGCAGATGAACAGCAGGTGGCTGATGAGGAAGAGATTTGGGGATTGAAGGCTGATGAAATGGGCTAGGACTGCTGATTGCTAGGGGTGGAGCTGCAGGGCATTGGTTACCAGTTGTAGTGGGGTCGGGGGACAACAGGTGGTACTTGCGACCTCCAGGGTGGGACTCGCTGGAGAAGTCCAGGCTGGGCACACTGAGTGACTGGCGGTTGGCCAGGAGCTAGGTGCTCTGGGGCAGGAAGGGTGTTGGGGACAGTATTCTTAGAGCTAGTTAGTGGTCAGCAGGTGGGAGGCCTCTGACGGCAACCAGACACGGTTGGAGATCATGGGAACAGGAGGCTGGCATGTGAGTGGAGATGAGGGCAGGGGTAGAAGAGGCCAGTGGGTGTTTGGGCCAGGGACAGGTTCTGAAATCGAGGTTGGCTGGCTCTAATAACCACCCTTGTTTATCCATCTTCTCCCTGCTACCTGTTTCACACCCATCATCATTAATCTATACAGGTATTCGGATGCAAATCCCTGCTCCACCATGGACTAACTGTGACCTTAGATGAGAGACTTGCCTCTCTGGACCTGTTTCTTCACCAGCAAAATGGCTGCCAAGGGGATGACAGCACCCACCTTGTGGGCTGATAGTGCAGATCAAATGAGAGAAGACACACAGAGCATTTATGTGCCTGTCATAGAGTGTCTGTAAAATTAGCACATTAAAATTTAAAAGACTAATGAGGTAGGTATGTGGTGAGACTTCAGGGGCGCCTCAGAGGCTCTGAGAGGTGGAGCAACTTGGCGAAGGTCACACAGCAGGAAAATGGCCGAGCGGAGCTCAGAGCCTCCTGACCGTCCAGAACTGCTATTCTTCCCACTTTTTGTTGCTGAGTGGTGTGTCACTGGCCTTATGGGAGCTCTTGTGAAGCCTGAAGTGGCCGGAGAAGCAGGGCTGCAGCTCACCCTCGGCCCAGCCCAGGGGGCAGGGGTTTGGCACAGAGCCGGGACCCACCTGGGCTGTGGCTGGGCAGGAAGTGGTCCAGGAAGGCTGGCTTTTTCCTCCGCCGCTTGCTCTCGATGCCATGGGGGTCTGAGGGAGGGCAGAGATGAGGACCCCTGGATCCCGACAGCCCCTCCTCCCAGCCTGGGGCAGGGCAGGGCAGGGGGGTCAATCATCCCCTCCCAGGGGAAGGGGCAGGGGGGACACACCAGAGCTGTTCAGCTCCCCAAGGACATCGGGCATGCCCCGTTTCCGCTTCTTGTCCACGCCGTAGCTGTCTGTTCAGAAAACAGCAGGGACACACAAAGTAACGCATCAGTATAAACAACTAAGAATTAATTTCAGAGACCGTTTAGGAGGTTGTGAGGCTGTTCCAGTTCTTGGCCGACCAATGCAAATAGATGTCCACATCCTACTCAGAGTAAAACTCAAATCCTCTTCTAGCCACACTGGTCTTTGTTATTCCTGGAATACCCTGGGCACCGTCCTGCCGCAGGGCCTTTGCACCTGCTGTTCTAGCTGCTTAAAAAAACTCTTCCTCAACTCCCACCCCTTCTCTGGAGAATTATTTAGTTATCCTCCCATCATCAGCTCAGCCGTCCCCTCCTCCAAGAAACCCTCTCTGAGCCCTAAGCCTGGTTTGGATGCCTCCTCTGGGCAATCGAAATCCCCTAAGCATTTCCACCCCTGTCCTGCCCTCACTTGTTGTCACTGTACGGGAATAGGTCTGTCATAGGAACTGGGAGACTCAGGAGGACAGGGCTGTGGCTATTTGGTCACCACTGTGTCCCCAGTACTACCCAGCATAGGGCTAGGCATGAGCAGTCGTGGCGAGGGGAGGAATGATCAAATCCTCCCCAAAATGCCATGAGGTGGTGGAACTATTATTATTATTTCATTTTCACCGGGGAGGAGACTAAGGCTCTGGAAGGTTAAGGTCACACAGCTGGTAAGCGGCAGAGCCAGGATTCGAACCCCAGTCTGTGTAACTATAAGCTTGCATTCCACTTCTGCCTCTTCCCCTTGCTGATCCGGGTCTCCCCCGGCAAGGCCGAAGACCTAGTCTCTGGAGCAGTGGGTCCCCCTGACTTGCTGTGGTTACCGTGGTCCCGGGGCAGGTACGTGAAGGGCAGGGGCTCGCTGCAGACCCCGTCAGTGAGCCGCTGCAGGAAGACGTTGACTGTCACAGGCTCGACGATCTCCAGGTCCTCGTAGGGCGGCGTCTTGAACACGATGGCGATCTGGCGGTGCACGTCGGCCTGGGAGAAGTCGGCGCGGCCCCCCCGCGGTTTTTTTTGATATGTCCTCTGCAGGAGAGCGGGGCCGTCAGCTGAGCCCGGACGCCGGCCCGCCAGGCCCCCAGCTCACTCGGTCTCCCCCAAATCGATACAAACATTGCTAAGAATGAAACTAATTATAGTGGCAGCTAACCTTCTATTGAGTGCACACCATGTTTCACTCACTAATTGTTACATACATTTTTATGTATTAGCTCGTTTAATCCTTTTAACGACCTGAAAGGCAGGTAGAGTCGATGTTCTCACCGTGTTAGGGGACCCCAAGACCACCATCAGATTCAGTGATTGATGAAGGGGACTCAATGGGACTCAGCATACAGTTGCCCTCATGGTTATGATTTAATACAGCCAAAAGATACTGAGCACGCTTAGGAAGGGGAACAGTGTCCACAGCAGAGCCCAGAGGACGCCACGCTCAAGCTTCCAAGAGTCCCCTCCTAGTGAGGTCGCAGAGGACATGCCAGTTCCCCCCGTAACAAACTGTGACAACACACGTGAAATGCTGTTTCTCAAGGAAGCGCCCTGGAGACTCAGAGCCCAGGGCTTTTCTTGGGGGCTGGTCACCTAAGTACCCTCTGCCCGGCACATACCAAAATCCAGACTTCCCAAAGGAGGGCAGGTGCTCTGCAGAAACCACATTGTTTGTACAAACCGTTTAGGCACAGCGACCCCCACTTATCAGTCAGGGAGTGGTGGGGACTCTCTCAAAATACAAGTTCCCAGAAGCCAGCCAAGGGCCGATCTTATAAGCAGCCTTTCAAAGGATAAGTTTCAGATCTGCAATGTTAATTCTTTTCTACATACCCACTTTAGAGATGGGGAAACTGAGGCATGGAGGGGTTAAGAGACATACCCAAGGTCACACGGCTGGTGGGGAATAGCCAGGAATCGGTGTGCTACTCTGCCGGCTATTTCTTTTTCTTGTCTTATCACACGACCTCCCTCGTCACACTAACACTGCATACTGAGACTATATGTATCGGACACACACAAATTGCCTCTAAGTCACACAAAACCCTATGAAGAAGGTACTTTTCAGAGCCCCATGAGATAGAGGAGGAAACAAAGACACAGAGAGGTAAAGTTGCTTGTCCAAGGTCACACAGCCAGCAGGTGGTGGAGGCAACATGGGAATCCAAGCCGGCGAAGGCACTGCACCACCAGCTCTGCTAGGGCTTGAGAAGTTATCTGATATCTCAAGGCCTGATTTCCTCACTTAACAGGAAAAATCACAACATCTATTTCATAGGAGTTTAGGAGGATTTAACTAAGTCGCGCCATGTAAGAGGCTTAGATGAGGGCTTAGTATATAATACGTGCTCAATCCACGCTAAGTATGAGTGTTCCCGTTAGCATTACGCAAAGTACTCGCTCCAGGCCTGGCACTCAGAAAATCTTCAATAAATGCCAGCTCTTTGCAGTGTACTTCTCAGGTAATTGGGATCCCATGTCATCCAACCGGTGACTCATTTTAGGGATGATGGAATTGAGGCTCAGGTGGGGAGGTCACCTGCTTGAGATCGGCCAGTGAATAAATGACAGAACAGGACTCACACCTGCCTCTAGTCATTCATCCACACCTGGAACAGTTTCCCTGCCCTGGCCCCAAGTCCCAGACCCTTAACAATCTCCTTGATCTTCCTCAGATGTCAGCTCAAATGTCACCACCCCTGGGAAGCCTTCCCAGATGCCTAGACTGTGTCTGGTCTTCCTGTTGTTGGATCTCAGCCCCTGGTCTTCTTCCCTCTCGGTATTCCCCACACTGGTAATTTGTACCTTTCCTTACTTCCCACTGAACTGAGAGGCCTGTGAGGGCAGGTCCTGGGCCGGTCTGTCACTGCTGTGTCCCAACACTGCCTAGCACAGGGCCCAGCACAGAGGAGCCACCAATAACCATCTGCTCATTCATTCGAGGTTTTATAAGAACCTCCGACTCCTAGGTGAAGACAGATGTTCCAACAAATAATGTTCACAGCAGCATTATTCAGAGTAGCCAAAAGGTGGAAACCACCTAAATGCTCATCAACAGATGAACGAATAACAAAGTGTGGGAGATCCATATCGTGGACTATTACATGGCCATAAAAAGGAACGAAGCCCTGACTCATGCTACCATATGGACAAACCTTGAAAACATTATGTGAGAGAACGAAGGCGGACATACAAGGTCACGTATTACAGGATTCCATGGATACGAAATGTCCAGAAGAGGCGAATGCACAGAGACAGAAAACAGATTCGTGGTTTCCAGGGCCTGGAGGAGGAGGGAATGGGGGGTGCCTACTTAATTAATGGGTACGGGGTTTCCTGTTGAGGTGATGAAATTATTCTGAAACTAGATAGTGGTGGAGGCACAACGCTGTGACTATAATAAATGCCACTGAACAGTACACTTTAAAATACTTTAACTGTTTGTTTGCTTTTTTTAAGAGTGAAGCTTGTAGCCAAAAAAAAAGAGGAATTAGTAACAAAAGTTTTTTCCTGAGAACCTCATGTGTGGTTGGCCCCGGACTGGGTGGTTCTGGGGACACAGCTGCTCACCCCGGCAGTGCCAGGTCCTGTCCTTGTGGCTCAGTGGGGGAAACAGATGTTAACTATATAATCACACAACCCGAGAAAGGACGGGGGGTCCCTGGGGCGGTGGCAGGTTCCCACACTCCCCTCCCCGCTCGCTGCCCTCTTACCCCATGGCCTTGCTGTCCCACCAACACCCAGGATGGCTTCTGCCTCAGGGCCTTTGCACTTGCTGTTCCCACTGCTGGAATACGCTTCCCCAGACAGCCACATAGATCTTTCCCGGCTTCAAAGTCATCTCCTGAGAGGGGTCCTTCACGGTCCCTCTAAGTAAAACTGTGCCCCACAACAGCCCCCCCACAAGCCATTCTTCTCTATCCCTTTTCTCTGTATTATTTTTCTACAAATATTACTTTTTCATCATCTTCCCAATTTTTTTTCAACTCTCTTTATTCTTTTTCCTCTTAGAAGAAATGATGAATGGCACAGACTGCCTGGGTTCAAATCCTGTCTCTTCCTGCCTAGCTGTGTGACCTTGAGCAAGTTACTTAACCTTTCTGTGTCTCAGTTTCCTCATTTGTAAAATATGTATTATAACGAAAGGCTCTACCTCATAGAATTATAGGTGATGAGATGATCTAATGAACGATGGCATATAGCGAGAGAAATACTAGCTTTTTATTACTGCTGGTGATGTCATTTGTAGTAGAGTGACATGTTAAGAAATGCGAAAGGAGGCAGAAAAGAAATACACAGTAAAAGGGAAGGCTTCCTCTTGCGCCCTTATGGAGGGGTACTCCTGGGTGAAAGGTTTTAAACCCTATTGGAAGAAGGGACATTTGAGCAGACATGCTCTGCCTTCTTCATCTGCAGCTCTGATCACAAGCATCGTAAAGCCTTTACTTGTGCAACTCCATGACAGTGAGCTCGTGATGGCAAGGCCTGCCTGGCACCCAGCGTGGGCCACCACGAATGGCCCTCTGTCTTTGTACATGAATGAGAGAGTGAGTGTGACTTGCTGAGCGAAGGAACCAATCAACTGTGCCCCACTTCCAAACCCAGTTCTGGATCCTTCTGCCCCACTGTGAGGATTAGCCAGCGTCTCGTCACCCTCTCACCCTCCTGGGCTCCCTGGCTAACGCTGCAAGCCACCAGACTCCCCTTCGCGCGCACTGCCCAAGGCCCCTCACCTTTCTGCACCTTGTCACACAGCAGGTAGAGCTCCTCGCCACCCGTGCACGGCCCGCTCTCCTTGTTGATTCGGCAAATCCGCAGCTCGGACGTGTTTGTGGACTCTGGGAAGGAGCCGGAGTAAGAGGTATATTTAGAAAAAATGAGGATTCGGTCATCAAGTCCTTAACAGGTACCCCATGGGGGCCCAGCTGTGCTGTGGAAAGGTGGGAAATGGAGAAGCCTGACCCTCCCGGAACCATCAGTCCGGACAAAAAATGAAGATCCTCAGACAAGAGAGGTTAATGGACAATCACACAAGTCCTGGAGCTGAGGCTGGTGAGTGTCTGGCCAAAAGGGAGACACACATCCGCCAGAAACAATTCTTAGATGAGGGTTAATGGCCTGAAATCTGTAGTGACACCTGTCATTCTGCCCATTTAGCAGCCCTGGCCCTTCTTCTGTTAACAGCCCCCCAATTTTCCTTTGAGGGCCACCCTCTGCCACCTCAGCCATGGGAATGATTGGGTAGGGCCTAGCTCTGCAGAGACCATGTGCCTCTGACCCAGCCAATCAGAATATCGCCTCCTCCTGGCCATTGATTGGTCAGAGAGGAGCACATGACCAAAGCCAGGCCAATGAGAGACAGCCCTGGGACTCTGAGCAAAAATATTCGGTAAAAGAAGCTCTCTTTGCCAGCGGGGAAGAGATGCCAAACTGGTAGGACGTAAGCCGAAAGCTGCACACAGTCATTTTGCCCCCGGTGGAAGGCGCTGGCAAGAATGACTCTAACATGAGGAAGCATGGCTGAGAGAGGAGGCAGAGATCCCAATGACATCTCTGAAGACCTGGGTGGAACAGGACAATGGAATGAGCAAGTTTCTCTTTTTTTTCTCCTTGCCCCATTTGAGTTGGGATTCCATCACTTGCATCCATAAAAGCCCTCACTGGATTAACATCTTTCCCCACTCTGATGCTGGGCCGTCACTGTAGGCTGCCTAAAACCTACCAGCCATTTCCAGGCCCCTCTTCCATGTTTGTACCCCTCCACAGAGGAGGAGAATCCTAAATGCTTGCTTTCCCAGACTCTTTTGTAACTAGGGGTGGCGGCAATGAGACCAAGTTCTGGCCAACGAGACATAAGCAGAATTCTACTAGGGGAATTCTGGAAAATATATTGTTTTATCAAAGAGAGAAATAGTATTACTCACGCTGCCCCTTCCCTAAGATGTACAGTGAAGTCGTACAGGTTGGACATTCTACACTAGGAGGCCCTGTTTCCATGGGCTGTATAGTAAATGCTGAACCCTGGGACTGGCAGTCTATAGTCTGTACAGCATACAGGGTGACACTGCCCATCCTACCTTGAGTACAGACATGCTGTCTGAAGCCGTGGCAGCCAGCCCATGACCATGAGGGGAAAAGCGAAGAGAATCACAGAGCTGCTGAGCCAGAGCCCCCACACTGCCGAGCAGCTGAAACCACAGGAGCGGACTTCATAACTGAGACGTATAAAAACTCCCTGCTGGTTCACGTCTCTGTATGTGGGGCTTTCTGGTGCTTCTGGCCCAAGATAATCCTATGGACACAGCACCCTCGACTCACTCTTGTCATAGACAGGCTCAGAGAGCACGGGGTCCATCTGGCGCATCTGTCCCTGCTGGTCCCTGTAAGAGGCCTGGAAGCAGATCCTCACGACGTTCATGTCCACCTCCTGATGGTTCTTCAGGGACCCAGCTGGGGGAGAGACGTGGGAGGGCTGAGTGGGGATAAGGGAGGAAAGCCTGGTGGGGGGACAAGGGACAGAGAAGGGATGGACTGGAGGAGATGGTGGGGCCCGGAGAAGGCGAAGGGATGGGGTGGGCAGAGGGAAGAGGGGCCTTGGGGACGAGCGGATCAGGCCGGGCGCGGGGACCGGGACTCACCGTTGTAGGGGTCAATGCCGAGCTGGATCTTCCGCTCAATGGCGGCCTCGATCTCCTTCTTCCTCACACACTGGATGCCCAGGTTGTTAAAGCTGCGTGTGGGGAAGGGAGGTACTCAGGAAAGGGCAGGTGTAGCCCTACCCCATGGAGGGCTCCAGCAGATGCTGCCTTGGGGCTCACAGTTCCGGGAGCTGAAGCACCCCTGCCCCAGGGCTCCCAGCTGTGGTGAGATCTGGGGTTTGAACCTCTTGGGGATGTCAAGGACCCTTGAGAAAACCGGGGAACGCCCCTTATTTTTACCACATGACAACACAGGCTGACCTCATTTACAAGAAAACTATAAATTAAACACCAATGCGATGCCAATTTTTTTTTAACTCATCCAAACAGCAAAGATCAAAACATTTGCTAATACCCTCTGCTGGTGTGGTTGTGGAGAATCAGGCATTCTCACCCATTGCTGGGGGTAGGGGGGGCTGTAAAGTGCTCCAGCAATTACACCTCGGAGGACGATCTGGCAGTATTCATTCATTCCACAAATATTTTCTGAGCACCTACTGTGTGCTAGGCATATGCTAGGCACTGGGGGATATAGCAGAGAACAAGAGACAAAGATCCCTGCCCTTAGTAAATGTGTAAAGCTCTAAACATATGCATATACTTAGAGCCAGGAATTTCCATTCTAAGAACTTAAACTAGAGAAAAAATGACCTATATGTAAGCCATTCACTGCAGCAGAGTCAGTCGTAGAGCCTCAGGAGACTAGAACCTCTGTAGATGCCCATTAATAGAGGACTTGTTCAAACTACTGTGTATATCCACACATTGGAATACTATACAGCCAATAAAAAGGACAGGGCAGCTCTAGATGTTCTGATAGGAACGATCTCTGCGTTGTACCGGGACACAAAAGTGAGGCACGAGTGTCCGCTACCATTTAAAAGGAGAAAACAAATATACCTAAGCGTAAAAAAAAATCTTTGCATAAAAAACTATATCGATATGTAAAAAATATATCTATGCATAGCTCATTTTTAATTGCCTCCAGGAAGGGGCACTGGTACCTAGAGGACCTAAGATGGAAGGAAATTTATTTTTCACTGTCCACCCTTTCTGAACCTTTTAATTTTTTATGCATAAAAAAATATTTTTAAAAAATTTATGTATGATGTATCTACAAAACGGGGATAAATATACTGTGTCGTGTGGATGTGTGGGGGCATTTTGTAGAGGACACCGAGGCTCCAAGAGGCAAAGGACAGCAGGTAGCCAGCGGCAGGGCTGGGATTGGACTCCAGAACTGACTCACTTTATATGTTTTTAATACATAAAAAATTAAAAGGTTCAGAAAGGGTGGGCAGTGAAAAGTAAATTAAAACTAACTTATTAATTATAATTCTTAATATAAACTTATTGTGAGAGACGAGACCTTTCACCGCCTCAGGCCTCGGTTTCCCAGTCTAGGAAATGTGACAGGGAGAGTCTGGCCAAGCTGCCAGTTGCCCTAAGGTTTCCCTGGGGAATCTCCAGGGGTCAGGGGCCAGGGGTCAGGGGTCGGGTACCTGTGCCGGGGGCTGACGTGAGGCCGGAGCCGCACTCTGCAGACGCCGTCGGTGCAGTCTTTCCCCACGAGGCTGTGGGGGTGGACTCGGTGAGGCCAGTCCTTCCACACCAGGCACGCGGTCACCTCTACCTCCCGCAGCCCTCCGCAGTCCCGGAGCTACAGGAAGACAAGCGTTCTTCTGGGGGTCCCATCACAGATACCTGCACACATCCAAACTCCCTGGGGCCTCCCTGAGTAGCTCCCCACCCCCTCCTCCAGGATGATGTGAGGGTGTTGGCTGAAGACCTCTCTGAGATCCTAAACCTGAGGCTTCCCACTGGTGGCCGGGGGGCCTCAAAACATGACGGCCGCCCCACTGATGCGCTCCCTTGGGCCACTAAGACTTTTACAGGTTGGATTCACACAGAATCTCCAAGCATGGCCTACTTGGTGCCAGTGACAAGTACCAGTGACAAGGGGAGAAAGGCTCCTTTGCAGTGGAGAGACCTGGTAGACACCACCTTAACCAGGAGATCAAGGTCAGCGTCACCAATACTGGGCCAAAATGACTGGGCACCCCCTGCTGGCCGGG